TGGTACCATGTCCCCCAGAGGACAGGTAGTCCCGAGAGCCAGGCGATGGTCAAAAGTTCCTTGGAACAGAATATTCCAGAGGAATATCATTCACACACCAATTCAGAGCAATATCCATACGCAGAATCACGTCTGGAGTCTAACCAATATCCGTCACGGTATGGTGGGCACTCCGGATATAAATATTACACCTTCGAGCACACAGAGAAGTGGTGGCAAGACTGGGAAAAGAAGTTCGAGGCAGCCTTCCCTTCATAGTTGGAAGACAAGCTTCTTGCACCTCGATTCACCCTCAGCAAATCATGTCTGAGACAGTTGTTGAATACACCCAGGGAACAATTCCTGGACCACATAGCTCTTTCGCAGGGCTAGCAAGACGCGCTAGCTCCTCGGTAAGATTGGTAACTTCTTTTTGTGCGTCCTCCAGAAAGTCGCGGATCCTCTGGTATTCCTTGTCTGGGGGCACAAAATTCGTGCCAATGATATCTTGGAAAGGAGAATCCATAAGCCTCCAGGACTCAGGCTCTGAGGGACAAACCGGCGAAATGACCGATCATCCAAGTCAGCCGGCTTCCTGAATTTGAAAGCGAAGGACGTACGGGGGAGATATGGATGATGAGATACAGTCGTCACGAATGGAAAACATTTTCTCGGGGAAGGAAGGGAGTACGGCGAGCCAATCGGACGAGCCAAGAGCAAGAAGCATAAGCGTTTGGGCGCTTCTTTGTGCAGAGCCACTGTGGCATCTTTGCGGCGCGACTGATCAATGTTTTCAAGTCCGTCGGTACCGCCTTCATGGAGTCACATCAATGTCCTGTAGTAGTCTGTGTCTGAGCAGAGCGCAGGCGTGCACTGCATACTCTATTGAAATTCCTCTGCGGTTTTCTCGTTTATGAATATTTATGTTTCAGACAGAGTTCAGACTACACTCTCAACGTCCGCGAATCCGAGGGCACCGCCCTTCGCTCTGGGAGCTCAATGTCTGTGGAAAACAAACAACATAAGGCATTCAATGTCCGATTACTATGCAGCACCGTACACACCCAAATTAGTGTCAAGCACTGGCGAGCCCCCCGCGGCGGTATCGCCTGTGAACCAGTTGTTGCCTGTAGTTGTCGTGCTCTGCGGCAGTCGCCCGGACATGTGCGTGAGCACGGGGTCGCGCAGGTTGAGCATGAGCCGGGCTATCATGACTGACGAGATGCTAGCAGGATGAATAAACCCTGGATGAGACCATCTTACAGCGACCGAGCAAGGTAGCGGACGCACATATTCGTAAAGGTTGTAGCAATCCCCCGGCTATCAGGCTGTATTGCGTTCAATAAATTCGTGCCGATGAACTTCAGAATGAGATACATACGTTGCCGATCTGAGGGGCATTGGTTAACGGATATGGTAAACGCAAATAACTGTGCCTTGCACTCACAACAAGTGTTAGAATGTTGGCTAGGTTAGACATGACCATGACTCTGTGTGGTTGTCAGAGGGAGTCTAAGGAGCAGCAGGAGAAAATGAAGTACCCAAAGTAGAGGGAACCTAACACAAAGGCGTCAGAAGCACGACCGGAGGAGCTGAGAGAGAAGGCCACACCGTCGCGTAGTAATACGGTGAAGAGATCCAGTCCATTGGCACGATGCCGACCAAATACTTTATACAACGTGAGGAGAAAGATCGTGGAGTCATATACGGTGACACCAGCCCAAGCCACGGCGAGGCTGTTCCCTCTGATAATCTCAATTCAGAGGGAGAGACTTCAGACCAAAGATAGAATATAGACGCACTCAGAGCGAGATGTTGTGAAGTTGCATCCGAAATGAAGAATCATGCTGGTATCATCCGATGTGTCCGTGATGACTGACCACTGTAATATTTTTCGTCAGTTGTATTGCATATGATAGGCTGAGGGCGACGTACAAGCCCAACAGCCACAGTTCCGACAGCCACGCCAAGCATCAACACGAGGACGCGTTTGCTCCGCTCATATAGCGCATAGGTCCGCAGAAAGAGCATTACTGAGAAGGGATGGGCTTGAGGTTACGCTGTCAAACAAACGTACATACCTCCGACCAAGAGCTGAGTCGCAACGATGAAGTATTGGTGGTACGACTCCAACTTGTGACATCTAATCGAAACACACCGTCAACTTATCCGGATTCACGAGAAATAATGATAAGCCGCACGTCTAGTGAGGTTTAGTATGCTGCTGAACCGAAGGAAATTTCAATTGACCGTTATTTTTCTTGTCAAGGTCTGACTGTTCCAGAAATACGGAATAATGACAGGAATGTTGCCAAATAGTGTGCCATATCGGTTGGCAAAAAACAGTACATTGGGTACGGTCAAGGTGAACGCCTCGCCCCAATACCGTGAGATTTCCCACTCGAGCGTCAGGAGGTGATCGTAAACTAGGAGCGCTGGGTGAGGGTATGAGCTCTAGATTGAGGCGGACTTAGAAGGCGCGCACTGAAGGGCGAAATGTCAAAAGCGCCGACAATCCTGCTCGACGCAGTCGGCGATCGATAAGCGAAAGTACTCTTAAACACGTACAGCTGTCCTTGAATGTCAGTGGCACTCATCGAGTGGCACCTTTCATGGAAGTTCAGGAACCAATAACGGAGAGGGCGGAGAGGAGACACAATGGTCCAATTTCAGGCACGGTGAGTCTGTGATGTGACAGTGCGGTGATGGAAACCATCAGTCAAATTTTGAGTTATATGCCGGCGGCCAAGCGGCGACCGCCGTTGGCTGTCAACGGACCAAACAAGGACCAAAACGGACCATGGGCTATGGCGGACATCCGCGAAGGTGGGATCGCCTTGAAGAAAAATAATAACTTTGAAGTCTTGCCTGGCGCGGTACATGGATAGGTTGTGCATGCGATAAGGAACATCTAGGACCTATAGGCCAGCGCGAATCATCAATTCAACGACGGGGAAGATGTGTTGAACAAGACTTCGGTACAAAAAAAAAACTTAGGTACACGCACTAGAGTAACCCACGAAACTGCAGAGAGCACCATGCAAGGCCGGCGGTATAATTCATCTGGCCAAGTCAAGTCCAGTTCCCATGGGACAATCCGTAAGTTATGGGCGTTGGATGCGTTCCGGCCCAGAAGCATCGACATTTGCTTAAAGCGCAGCTTCAACCAAAAGATAAGATTTGCGGCCCATGTCGAATTCTTTCGCTTGTCACGCACCTGTCGAGTAGCTGTCAAGTACAATTTCAGATAAGAAGACCATGCTCAGTGGTTTAACCAATCACACTAACATCCTGGTTCTTGCCAGTGAGCCAATGCTAGGCAAATAAAAGTCTCAGATCAAAAGGTGCGTCCTCTGTAGAGCTAGCACCGAGTTGGTTATAAAGCCTCTGTGGATGTAGATCACCCCAGTTATGTCAATAGTTGCGAAGCTGCATATTTGCGGGGGGATGTGGGTTCAAGTCCCACTGCAGGCCTTTGGCAATTTTTTCCCCCTGCTTGCACTTCTTTTCTGTGGTCCCAGTTATTATATGATATATATGGGGAGGAAGCACAGGGCATGAAGCCTCTGTGGATCAATGTAGATCGCCTCGAGATTGTGTGAAGTCAAGTTTGATAAAGATTAACATCTGTGTTCTTGCCAGTGAGCCAATGCTAGGAAAATGAAAGTCAGATGGAAAGGTGTGTGATCTATAGAGCCAGCACCAAGTGGTTATGAAGCCTCTGTGGATCAGTGTCGATCACCTCAATATCTTAAAGAGGCTTGCTGCTTTGAAAATTAATGAGGAGATGTGGGTTTGAGTCCCACCGGAGGCATTCTGGATTTGCATTTTTTTCTACTTTTTCTTTTGGGGTGCGGTGGGGTTCAAAGTTTATTAGTATTTCCTAATTCCTGACCTCCGAGTCATGTACGCGTTGAGCTGGACTTGAGGCACCTACTGTTTTTTTATGTTCCTGGCAAGGGGGTACCGGCATCCTAAAAAAATATATAGGGCCGTTTTTCTTTTTTCCGACTCGGCCGCTGGACTAACTAACTAACGTAACGTTCCCACGCACCATATATGGTAATTTGTTACGTGTTCAAGTCGCCGGTGAGTGCAAAATTATTGTTCACCATCCATGGTGAGCTTTTTTCGATGTAGGACACCAAGTAAAGGACTATCTATTCAAAACCAACCTTCCAAAGACAATTCTCGACCTTTCCAGACTTATCATTTCGGTTACCATATATGGACTTCTACCGAGGCAGCAGGCGCAGGTAGGAAACATGCCATCTTAAGAGTATTCAGCACTCTGAGGGCCAAATTGAGCTCCTTGGCATTGGTCAAAAGACTATTCTTGGCCAAAAAGTGGTGATCAAAGTTTTTTTTTTCTGGCCTGGCGGCCGGACTAACTAACCAGCCCTTAGTCACCGGTCTGAATGCCGGTACCCCCTTGGTTCCTGGGCCCTATTATATATGTGATCACTTAAGGATGGGAATTATGGGATGCATATGGGAGCAGTGGGGAGTAGGGTATGAAGCCTCTGTGGATCAGTGTAAATCGTCTCGATCTCTTGAGGACGCGCTGATTGAAATTAGCGAGGAGAGGTGGGTTCGAATCCCACTGGAGCATACAACAGCAATGTCCAACTTTTTTGTCCTCATTGCACTTCTTTTTCATTCTGGCACCCAGTCCAGATGCCTGCTGCCTAATGGAGGAGTGAGAAACAGGGAAACAAGGTATGAAGCATGAAGCCTCCCTGGATCAGTGTAGATCGTCTTGATATCTTGGGCTTTAGGTTTGAAAATTAACGAGAAAATGTGGGTTCGAGTCCCACCGGAGGCATTCTGGATCTGGGGGGTGGGGCTCAAGGTCTACTAGTATGTCCTAATAAAATTATCCTGACCTCCGAGTCATGTACGTGTTCAATTCAGGTTGGACTAGGCTTAAGGTACCACTGTTTTTTATGTTCCTGGGCCCTATTATATATGTGATTATTTAAGGATGGGATGCATACGGGAGTAGTGTAGTAGGGTATGAAGCTTCTGTGGATCAGGGTAGATCACCCCAGTTATGTGATTGCTTGCTGTGTTGCATATTTACGGGGAGACGTGGGTTCGAATCCCGCGGAAGGCATGCGCTGACAGAGTAGAAGTTTTATTTTGAAAAAAAAAAATCCGTTATTCTTTTGGATACCGATTCGCATGCACACATATATGGTGGGAGGGCATAGGATATGAAGCCTCTGTAGATCAGGGCAGATCACCTCGAATTGTTATGAGAGTACACAGATAATTAACGAGGAGATGTGGGTTCGAATCCCGCCGGAGGCCTGGACCTCCAAACATGGCCTTTTTTTGTTTTTGGACAAGAGCTCTTTTTTGGTCCTTCTTTTTTATTACTGATGTATGGAGGAGTAACACAGCCGGCAAGTGCCATGGCCGCGGCTTCATGGCGTTAGACCGGCGTGGGACTGACACTGGCCATGGCGTTGGCCAGGCGTTGGCTGGGCGTTGGCCAATTTCTTTCTCTTGTCAGTGTGGGAAGGCTTAGCCGTTCACAAAGCGTAACAAACTTTCTCACCCTTGTCTCACACATCTATCTCTTCACGGCCATAAGCTGACTCTGAACAATGTCAGGTGAGGTTGCAGAAAATTTAAGAGAGCACATACAACACCATACCTTGATTTTTGCCTCCTCCAACCTGTGTCTCACATTGGATTGGTTCTGCATCTGGGTTGAGCCCAGGACTCGATAACGTGTAGGGAAATTTAAGAGCATGAAACTAAGTTGATGAAATAAGCTTCCTGCAAGTTCCAAACATTTTTTTTAGAGGGAGGAAAGGGAAAGAAAACAAGAACCGCTGAAGGTGAGATGTTCAAATTGGCCAACGCCCAGCCAACGCCTGGCCAACGCCATGGCCAGTGTCGGTCCCACGCCGGTCAAACGCCATGAAGCCGCGGTCATGGTGCTTGCCGGCTGTGTAAGGAAACGGGGTATAACACCTCTGTGGATCAGTGCAGATCGCCTCGAGATTGTTACAAAAAAGTAGAGTTCGCGAGGAGATGTGGGTTCGCGAGGAGATGTGGGTTCGAGTCCCGCCGGAGGCATGGATTGACCACGACGATTTTTTTTTTTCGGGGATTCCAAGTTTACTCGTACATCCTGATTCCTGTGACTGATTGGGCTTGATGACTACTTTTTTTTATGTTCCTGACCCTATTACGGGAACAATTAAGGATGGGATGCATATGGGGGCAGCAGGGAGTAGGGTATAAGGCCTCTGTGGATCAAGGTAGATCACCTCGATATCTTGAGTCCTTCTTGGAAAATTAATGAGGAGATGTGGGTTCGAGTCCCACCTGAGGCATGGACCAACTGTCGTAATCTTTTTTGGGGAGTTCAAGTTTGATTTGGAATTTGTGAGTTTGACCGTTTGAGCACCATTGTATCACACAATGTATAGGAGGAGGAAGGAAACAGGCTATGAAGCCTCTGTGGATTAATGTAGATCACCTCGACTTAAATGCTTCTAGAGTTACAGCAAGGAGATGTGGGTTCGATTCCTGCCAGAGACCTTGCCTAATTTTCGTTGGCATCACTTTTTTTTTATCTCCCATTCGACAACTTCTTTGCTTCCTTCCTTCCTCTTCCCTTTAATTCCAACCTTGTTTCTGGCCAGGTTCCCCTTCAAGTGCAATTTCAGATAAAAAGACATGCTCAGTGGTTAAACCCATCCTTGTTCTTGTCCGTGAGCCAATCCCAGGCAAATGAAAGTCACATTGAGAGGTGTATATGTAATGTATGGAGCCAGTGTTGAGTGGTTATAAAGCCTCCGTGGATCAATGTAGATCACCTCGAGAATGTTCGAGAGGAACATTGACGAAGATTAAGGAGGAGATGTGGGTTCGAGTCCCACCGGAGGCATTGTTGAGCTCTTCAATATTTTTGACTTTTCTTCAGGGATTCCAAGTTTACTCGTACATCCTGATTCCTGTGACCGATTGGGCTTGATGCATCACTACTTTTTTTATGTTCCTAGGCCCCATTATGTGATGAATTAAGGATGGGATGTATATGGGAGTAGCAGGAAGTAGGGTATAAAGCCTCTGTGGATCAATGTAGGTTGCCTCGAAATTGTCCGAAGGCAATTGAGAGATTAAGAAAGAAATGTGGGTTCAAATCCTGTCGGAGGCATGCAGCAGTAACTGCCACAATCTTTTTGACCTTTTGAGGAGTTCAAGTTTGATTTGGAATTTGTACTACCTCGCTCATGCATGTGATGGGTTTGAGCACAGTTTTGTACTCTCATGAGGAGGAGATATATTTCGTACACTGGTTTCCTGATACACTGTTTCCTTCCTCCCCATATACATCATATGATATACTGTGTATCAAGCCTTTGTGGATCAGTGTAGATCGCCTCGAGATTGTTACAGAGTTCGTTGTGATGGACCAGGAGATGTGGGTTCGAGTCCTACCAGAGGCATAAATTGGCCTGCGGGAACTTTTTTGTCCTCGTTGTACTTCTTTTTATTCCAGCGCCCAGTCCGGATGCCTGCCGCGTGCCAAGAGGCGAGCGATAGTAAAGTCCATGACATAGACCTGCCAAAGTCGCCATCACTTGTCAGAGGGGGGGGGGGGGGGGGTATGTAAGCATCCGCATTTGGGTTTAGCCCCAGTTTTCGACCTGTGCGCCCCGTTCTTTGACGCCAAGTTTGCCTCCCTGTTATGGCCATACCAGCAGTGAATTTCTACCGCTATATTCTGGCTTCCTTGCGTGCAAAACTGTACCTTTGGTTTTGGCAGGTGGGAATGGCGAAGAGAATGTGTTAGCGTCATTGCGTCATTTAGTTTTATTTTTGGCCCGGAATCGCCGAAGAAAAATCATGGCATCAAGTGGTTGTTAAATCTACTGTGTGCCCTGCTCTGGGAGATAAAATATTCTGAGGCGCCAGATCAATGCGCAATATGCGAAAATGGGGGGGTAGCCAAAACCGTAGAGTTATCGGGCACAGGTGGAAGTCGCAGTAAAAAGTTCAGGAATCAGCAAAGGGAAAGTCGGCCGCGGAGCTCGGACATCCCGATTTGGGGGGGTTGTCAAAGAGGTCTGTGTTAAGATCACTCTGATCGCTCGCCTCTTGCCGCGTGCTGGAGGAGTAAGGTATTTTACTTTTTCTCAGGCTGACTCAGCACGTCCCTCCCACATTTTATTTAGAATTTCAACTTCCGTGGTCTGGGTTTTCTCGTTAAACTTTGTTACAGTTTTTGTCCTCGGCTCCTTGACATTGAGATTAGCCTTAAGCTTGGCTTAGATGAGGACTTAAGTGCATCCATGCCTCTGTAGCTCAGCTGGAAGAGCTCCTCTGTATTATGCACTCAGAATTCAGATTTTCTGGAGGAGACGTGGGTTCGAATCCCGCCGGAGGCATGAGATTAAACAGTGGCAGTTTTTTTCCTCAAAAGAACAGGATTTTTCCGTTGTTCTTTTGAATGCCGAGTCGCATGCACACGTATGTATATGGCGGGAAGGGATCGGGTATGAAGCCTCTGTGGATCAGTGTAGATCGCCTCGAGATTGTTGGACTGATAACGCGTACAGAGAATTAACGAGGAGATGTGGGTTCGAGTCCCGCCGGAGGCCTGGACCTCCAAACATGACCTTTTTTTTGGGGGGGATTCCAAGTTTATGCGTACATCCTGATTCGTGTGACTGATTGGGCTTGATGCATCACTACTTTTTTAAAATGTTCCTGGGCCTATTATGTGATCAATAAGCAATAGTAGGGCCCGCTGCTGCGGCAGAGCCCACCTGTAAACTGGGACTTTGAGCTGACAATGGGTGTCTTATTTTACTAGTCCTTAGGCCGCTGCTCCGCCTGGCAATACAAGTCCAGGCCGCCTTCCGTGGGGAGATTATCAGTCGCAAAAGGCCGGATCAGTGTCAATGTTCTTGGCCATGCATTGACCAGCCAACAAAATTGGCTATCTGGTGTTGTGGGGCTCGAATAGTGATGTTCTGGCTTTGGCTTTGGCTTTTTGGCTTGGCCTTGGCCTCGGAAAATCTCAAGCCAGGCCAGGGCCAAATTGTCGGCTTTGGCCTGGCTTGGGCCATGGCTTTTGGCAGGGAAATCAGTTTGGCTTTGGCTTTGGCCTCGATGAATCCCAGGCCAAGCCAAAGCCAACTCGGGCCAAAGCCAGCAAAAGCCAAAGCCGAGCCAAAAAACCATGGCTTTTTGGCCTGAGGCCAAAGCCAGAACATCACTAGGATCGAACTACATTATGGCCTCCGGTATTCCCTACGTAGGGTGTGTTGTCCACCACGAAGGTCACGGTGTGGTATCAAGCAATTCATGCACAAATTTGGAAAAATTTGGGAATCTTTCCCTGTCCCAGCCGAGTCGACTGGATATCAACATCATGGGCAGTATATTGTTGAGCGGCGAGGTTTCATTGAAATTTAAAATGCGGACGGCTCGGCGCTCGCCCGACCTTCGGTCGGCTCGGCCGAGCCGGTGGTGCGCGCGCTGTCGCGCGCTCATCTAGAACCGACGCGGAACATTAGGGACAGCTCGGGACAAAGGGGAACACACGGCGCGGCCACAGAGGCGATTTCATGTACTCAATATCATCAACAACTTGGCACTAGGATGCTGGTAGGAGTACTCGGAGTTCTACGTCATTCCGGCAAGAATTTACGGGCAGAGGAATACGCAGTTCGTGCAATGTGCATATACACACTCCAGTCGACACCAAGTACAACATCAGGGTCACCGACACCGTTAACACGAAAAACAATGGTGAGCAGAAAGAAAGAAGGAGAGAGAGAGAGAGGGAGGGAGGGAGGACGGAAAAGATGGTAGCGAGGACGAACGCAGATCTCGGAACTTGCGGAACCAGGGTGAAAGTAGAACCTTCGAGGAACAGTAGGAACAGCAGGGAACAATCCGGAAGAACCAAACAGTTGACCGAAAGAACGGTTTTGAAGACTTTAAGATCAAAAAGGCTGAAAGAGGTAGAATTCAGGACCGAGACAACGGTTTTGGAGGATTAAGATCATTAAGATCATCTCACGGCTCAATTAGGACGACACAACAAGAGAATCGCTGATAGGGCCACACAACACCCCCTACTAAAGATAGTGGGCATTAAGGATGAGATGCATCTGGGGGCAGCGGGGAGTAGGATATGAAGCCTCAGTGGATCAGGGTAGATCGCCTCGATATCTTCAGCTAGCTCCGTAGAAAATTAACGAGGAGATGTGGGTTCGAGTCCCGTCGGAGGCCTGGACCTCCAAACATGACCTTTTTTTTTTTTCGGGGATTCCAAGTTTACTCGTACATCCTGATTCTTGTAACTGATTGGGCTTGGTGCATCACTGGTACTTTTTAAAAAAATGTTCCTGGGCCTATTATGTGATCAATTAAGGATGAGATGCATCTGGGGGCAGCGGGGAGTAGAGCATGAAGCCTCTGTGGATCAGTGTAGATCGCCTCGAGATTGTATAACGGCACCTGAGAGATTAACGAGGAGAGGTGGGTTCGAATCCCACCGGAGGCGCGATATCTTCAAAACTCTGGTTTTTTTACAGGGCTTGGATCTGGTTTGGCTCCGTTTCAGCTTGAGCTTGGCCATAGATTCGGTGCAGATCTCGAACAAGAACAAGAGAAGCAGGACCCTGCATCAAGAGATACGCGATCGGTGTTTGCCGTGTTCCTGCCAGCGCACAGAGGTCGCGTGGAGAGTCTCCTGCGATAAGAAAATTGGGGGGCTGCAGTCCTCCTGCATGCATCCCTTCATACGCCCTGCCTCGTTAGAAATAGGGCTAGCATGTAAACCCTTAATAGAACATTGGATGGCCCGTGCGCATCAGGTACCTTGCTTCTTTGACGTGTCGTCTCGCAGCGATTGTTTTCCCCCTTCCCAATCCCTTTTGTGCGTGTCTCTTTATTGCACCACCCCACACACTCGTTGGCCCAAAGACACACTCGTTGATTGACTCCCTTTGCTTTTGCACCCTGACACTCGTTGCTTTCCCTCTCTTCACTGTACATTGAATTTCCTGTAATCGCTGGGATGACACACGGACATGGACAGGCCGCCTTCCCCGCCTCTGCGCCGTACCCGCCGTACTCGTTTGATATCGACATGATGAAGGTGCGCTTAGCCGGGTTGCTATGCAATATTTCGTCGCACTCATGATCATTTGTTTGTCTTCCCCTTTCGCCTTTTGCTTTTCGCCACTTTCACCTTCAATTCCTTCGTCGCCGTTGAATTGGCGTGGATTCTCTGGATTCCCTTCTTGTGACGACGAAACGCAAGCAGCGCTCGATGGACACCCCCGCCGGCCCCGACTCCAAAAAGGCCAGGTGGTCCCCCACAAACCAATCCGCCCCTTCCCCCTCCTCCGCGTCCCCCAACAACAACAACAACGCCAACAACGCCAGCGCGTACGCGAACTACGGCTACGGCCCCGGCGCGAACGCGGGCGCACAGTACAGCGGCCAGCAGCAGCTCTATGCCACGCCGCAGCTCAGCATAAACACCCATTCGCTCGCGGCTGCTAATGCGCAGCAGCAGAACGAGTATCAGCAAGCGCAGGCACAGGCTCAGGCTCAGGCGCAGGCACAGGCGGGGCAGGGAGGGCAGAGTCCTGTTGTGGGCGCCGGACAGAGCCCGTATGCGCAGTTTAGCCCGTATGGGATGTGGGGTGGGCAGGGGTTCCAGGTGTGTGTCGTTTTGCGTTTTTGGCGTCTTTTTCCTTTCCTTTCGTACTCTTTTATGGGCGGGGGCGACTCGAGGGCGGCTTGTAGGCGTCGTCCGTCCTCCTTTTTTGCCGACGGGCGCGTGCGCACACCGACACGCCCCTTCTTTTTTCTGCGGTCGGACCTGATAAGCATCCGGCGTCGCTCGCTGGTCTCGGTGGCGTCTGGCACAGTCCACGCGCGCGTCGGGCCCGAGTCCGAGCTTCACCGTCTGCCTCGCTGTCTTTTTTCCCCTTCTTCTGCGCTTTTTTCTTCTTCTCGCGACTCTATACCCTTTCCTGCGTCGCCCAATCGCGGCCTTTTGCGTGTCCGCGCGCGAACGAATGCGGCGTACCGTACACGGTACTCACTCTATCACGCACGGATGGATTGCTACCAGCTCCTTCGACTTCGCGCGCTGTATTTTTATTTTTTTCCTGCTTTTGGTATCACGCACGCACGCATGGATGGCTACCAGCGACTTCGACTTTTGTATTTTTTCTGCTTTTGGGTGGATTTTCCCTGGTGGAGCGCAGGCGCTATTTTCTTTCTTTTCGGTTTTGGGTTTGGGTTTGGGCGGGGTTTGGGTTTGAGGGGGGCGGGCAGCGGGCGGCAGGCGGTATACGTCCACGCAGCGGACGGGGATCCTCGTTTGTCAGCCTCACCCGTTCCTTTTTCGACGGCCGATGGGTTGTCGCACTTTCTCTTTTCTTTTCCGCGCGCGCGCCTAGATTTTCCCCAAATCGCTGGCGTGCATATATGCGTGTCCACGCTTCTTCGTCTTGTCTTTTGGCCCGGCTTTCGTAATTTCTATGGGCCGGAGCGACACGACGTCTTCTCCCTCGGAGCCGTCGTCCGTCTGTCTTTTTTCGGGTCGCGGATGGGTGCGCGCGCACCGACACGCCCCTTTCCTTTTGGGTTTTGGGTACGCGGATGTGGACCGCCGATAAGCATCCGGCGTCGCTCGCTGGCCTCAGTGGCATGTGGGACACTCAACGCGCTTGTCGGGCGCGAGTCCAGTCTCTCTGGCCATCGCTGCCCTCTGCCCTTTGCTCTTTTTGGGGAGCTTTTCTTCTTTCGACTTCCCGCATTTTTTTCTTTCGCTACGTGCGTCGCCGCCCAATCGCGGCGTTTGCGTGTCCAGTACTCTATCACGGATGGCTACCAGCGACTTCGCTGGCCGTTTTTATCTTGTTTTGGGTGCATTTTCCCTGGTGGAGCGTCGGCATTTTTCTTTTTGACTTCGTCGCGAGGCGGTCCACGTCCTTTTCTTCTTTCTTACTCGGACTCGTTGCACTTTATCTTTGCTTTCTTTGGTGCTTCCCAAGTCGCTGGCATGCGTGTCCACGCGACGCGGTCCTCGGTCGTTATCACGATCACTACCGCTTTATTTTATTCTATTTTATTTTCGCCTTCTTTCATGCCTTCTTTGGTGTGCATCTTCCGCGCTTTTTTTCTCGTCCTCGCGTCCGGCGATCTATCCCTGAACCTCGTGGCGCACGCCGATCACGGAGGTTATCCGTGCCGTGTCGACACGGTCGACACATACGTATATCCGCGCCGATTGTTGTCGCGCCTCGGCCTTTGCCTCCCTCCTTTCTCGGTGCCGTTGCCCTCCCCTTTTCCGCGTTCCCCTTTCTTCGTTCGCCTTGTCGCACTTCTCCTTCCTTCCTTCCTTCACTGCTTCCCTTCCCTTCCCTCCCTTGCCTCTACTTCCGCCTTCCCTTCCAATTCTCATCACGTCTTTTCAATGCAGCCAACAACAAACACCACCACCCCCTCCGCCGGGCAAAACCTCACCCAACAACAGCAACAACAACAGCAGCAGCAGCAGCAGGCATTTTCTCCCCTGCAGCGCCTGCCGAGCCTGAACGTGAACATCCCGGCGGCGCAGGCGGTGTATGCGAACCCGGCGCAGGCGGGGCAGATGAGCGCGATGGGGATGGGGATGGGGGGGATGCAGAGTGCGTTTGCGTTTTTTTTTGTTTGAGTTTGGAGTCGTGTTATTCTTCCTTTTACCTGCGGCGCTTTTTGGACACATTCGTTGCGTTCCTTTGTCGGCGCTTTCCCCCCTCCTCCCTCCATTTCCATTTCCTTGCCCCTAACTCCCTTCCCGATCATTACGATGATCGTGCTAAAGCTTTCGCAGTGATGTCCCCCGGCGGCGCGCCACAAGCCGGGCGCACGGTGTACATCGGGAACTTGCCGCCGAGCGCGAGTGTTGATGAGTTGCTTAATTTGGGTGAGTCTCCTTCGCCCTTCAACTTTCCGGTCCGAGCGAGCGAGATGAGGTGAGATGAGGGTGGACGGGGAGACGCGCGTTGCGCTTTTCTGTGCACGGGGTGCGCGAGGATGAGGGTGGTCGAGGAGAAGGAGGGGAGGGGACGAATAACGACGACGATGACGCGCTGGAGAGGCCGCCATTCGTCGTCGTCGTCGTGCGGATGGGGACGAGGAAGCCAACGACGGGCGTCAGCTTTCCTTTTGCGACGTCACGTCGTCCGTCCCGGCGGGGCTGCATGCAGATGCAGTCGTCTCCTGCCGACAACGGGTTTTGCTTCGAAAGATGCGGCCCATGCGCGTCCACGAGCGGGACTCCTTCCTTTTTCACTTTCGAGACGTCCCCTTCACCTCCCTTCTCCATTCTTCCCAATCTTTTATATCCCTCGCTTACTTACCCATTTTCGTCACGTTTTCAGTGCACTTCGGCCCCCTCGAGTCGATCCGCGTCCTCCCCGAAAAGTCGTGCGTCTTCCTGTCGTTCTTGGACGCGCCGACGGCTGCGGCGTTTTTCGCGGATGCGAGTTTGAGGTGCGTCTATTTCTTATCGTCATTTCTTCCCCCCGATTCTACTCGACTTGGACGTGCGCCGTGCGATTCGACGTGCGTACGGTGATGCGGGTGGGCGCGTGCGGCGCGACAGAGCGCGTTCCTGGCGTCGGGCGAGAGGCCGTTATGGTGCGAGTCGAGTCGAGTGCATGTCCGCGGTGCTCGTCCTCGCCTTCGACTGGGAGATCGACAACGCACGTCGCGGAGTTCTGTCTTTGCGGGTAGCACGAGTGCGGCGTCGGGCTCCGCGCGTCTGCGTCGGTGCGGCCAGACAGAGCGACACGAGCAGCCGGGCGACGACGTCGTAGCGGCTATTGCTTGAAGGCATCTTCGTCTTGGCCGGGACCTTTCCGATGCCCCGTCCTTGTCTTTATCTTCGTCCTTCCCCTCCCTCCTTTCCTCTGCCCTTCCCACTCAAACAAACGCTAACATCCTCGCCAGGAAACTCTCCCTCCACGGGCAGGAGCTCAAAGTCGGCTGGGGCAAGCCGAGCCCGGTGCCCGCGCAGGTGATGCAGGCGATTGCGCAGAGGTGCGTTTCTTTTGCATTTCTCTTACGTCCATACGGGTCGACGCCGTCGCTTGATCGAACGGGTGTGGAGCGGGCACGAAGGGGGGGAGGTGCCTCGTCGCGTCGTTCTGCGGGAGGAGAAGAAACTTCGCGCGGGCGCGCGCCGTCCGACCTAGGAGTCGGTTTGCCCGGCGGGAGTCGTTATCCCAGGCGCTCGTCCTCGGCGTGTGCGGACTCGGGCGGCGACGATTTTCTGTGGCGGATCCACGGAGGATAGGATGGGCCGTCCTTTTCTTCGCCGCCGCACGCGCGCGCCGACGTCCTCTCTCGGAGTGTCGGCGTGTGTTTCTTGCGCGGGGAGGAAGGCTTTGGATGTTGTTCTCCTCCCCCGCTCTCGTCCTCGGCGTCGACATGCTCGTTTCGTGTGCCGTCCTCACCTCCCTTCCCCTACCATCCTCTTCCCATCCTCCTCCTCCC